TTTTTTTTTTTTTTTTTTTTGAGTTTCAGATCATTGAATATCTCCTGGTTAAGACCCAGTGGTTTCTTGCCATACTTCCTATCTTTCCTATGCAGTGGGATAGTTTGCACTTTTGCCTGTACTGTCTCTTTGAAAAACTGCCAACTCTCTCAAGCTCTTTTTCCCCTTAGATTTGCTTCCCATGGGATCTTACCTATCAACTCCCTGAGTTTGTTAAAATCTGCCTTCTTGAAATCCATTATCTTTATTCTGCTGTTTTCCCTCCTACCATTCCTTAGAATCATGAACTCTCTCATTTCACTTTCACTCAAATTCTCAACCAGTTCCTCACTATTTGTCAAAATCAAATCTAGGTCAGTCTCTCCCCTAGTTGTTTTCTCCAGCTTCTGAAATAAAAAACGGTCCCCAATTCCAAGAACTTGTTGGATAATGTGTGCCCTACTGTATTATTTTCCCAAGAGATAAGTCCCCCATCACCACCAGTTCCTTTGCTTTGTATGATTAAACTGACTAACCTAATTGCCTTCTATGACAAGATAACTGGCTCTGTGGATGAGGGGAAAGCAGTGGACGTGTTATTCCTTGACTTTAGCAAAGCTTTTGATACGGTCTCCCACAGTATTCTTTCCGGCAAGTTAAAGAAGTATGGGCTGGATGAATGGACTATAAGGTGGATAGAAAACTGGCTAGATCGTCAGGCTCAACGGGTAGTGATCAATGGCTCCATGTCTAGTTGGCAGCTGGTATCAAGTGGAGTGCTCGAAGGGTCAGTCCTGGGGCCGGTTTTGTTCAATATCTTCATTAACGATCTGGAGGATGGCGTGGACTGCATGCTCAGCAAGTTCACGGATGACATTAAGAGGGCGGGGAGGCTGGAGAGTAGGGATAGGGTCTGGAGTGACCTAGACAAATTGGAGGATTGGGCTAAAAGGAATCTGATGAGGTTCAACAAGGACAAGTGCAGAGTCCTGCACTTAGGACGGAAGAATCCCATGCACTGCTACAGACCAGGGTCCGAGTGGCTAGGCAGCAGTTTTGCAGAAAAGGACCTAGGGGTTACAGTGGACGAGAAGCTGGATATGAGTCAACAGTGTGCCCTTGTTGCCAAGAAGGCTAACGGCATTTTGGGCTGTATAAGTAGGAGCATTGCCAGCAGATCGAGGGACGTGATCATTCCCCTCTATTCGACATTGGTGAGGCCTCATCTGGAGTACTGTGTCCAGTTTTGGGCCCACACTACAAGAAGGATGTGGAAAAATTGGAAAGAGTCCAGCGGAGGGCAACAAAAATGATTAGGGGGCTGGAACACATGACTTACGAGGAGAGGCTGAGGGAACTGGGCTTGTTTAGTCTGCGGAAGAGAAGAATGAGTGGGGATTTGATAGCTGCTTTCAACTACCTGAAAGGGGGTTCCAAAGAGGATGGATCTAGACTGTTCTCAGTGGTAGCAGATGACAGAACAAGGAGTAATGGTCTCAAGTTGCAGTGGGGGAGGTTTAGGTTGGATATTAGGAAAAACTTTTTCACTAGGAGGATGGTGAAGCACTGGAATGGGTTACCTAGGGAGCTGGTGGAATCTCCTTCCTTAGAGGTTTTTAAGGTCAGGCTTGACAAAGCCCTGGCTGGGATGCTTTAGTTGGGGGTTGGTCCTGCTTTGAGCAGGGGCTTGGACTAGATACCTCCTGAGGTCCCTTCCAACCCTGGTATTCTATGATTCTATTTTGTTAGTTGTTTTAAAATAGTCTCGTCCACCTCTTCTTCCTGGTTTGGTGGTGTATAGTTGGCACCCTGAGTGACTTATCTCCTAGATAGAAAGAAAATAAATAATAATGATTGCAGGGGGTGGGGGATGCACACAGCCATGGTATAGGGAGGATTATGGGGGACCCTGGTATTGGGGGGGGAGGGCATACAGAGACTCTGACCTGGGGGGAATGGGGGACACAAATCTCCTGCCAGGAGAAGAATGGGGACTTGGGTACAGGCAAAATTTGGGACTTGGAGGGAAAAGGGAGAATGGGGGGCACAGAGCGCCTGACATGGGGGGATGGTGGCAGTGGTATAGGGGGGAGACAGAGCCTCAGGGAGGGGTAAGGGGATTGCACGAGTCCCTGAAATAGAGGGAGAATGGGGGAATGCAAGGAACCTCTGCTGCATGCAGTAAACTCAGCCTACAGGTGCTGTGAAGTGTGCAACCCATTGTGAGCTTGGATCTTAATTCTCCTCATTTACCACGGGTGAAATCGCAGTCACATTGAAGTCAATGGAAAAACCTCCACTGAGTTTGGGGCCAAGATTTCATCCCAGGTACGTAGATAAGCTGTCTCCTTCTGGCTGTAGAGAGTGTGGATGACCCCTGAGCTCATATGCAATATTTACAGCAGGGTTTCCCAACTCATTTTATAATGAAGACTAACTCTTAGCAGTGAGGCCATCTTACAGGCCACCTCTTCTCAACACCCCTCAGTTACTCAGCTTCACAATAGCACGGGCTTTCCTCTTGCCCCTTTCCCCTGGTATGTGCCGGAGCAGCATTTTCATTCTTTTTCCTTTAGTATGTCCTGATTGTTAAACTCTTTGGAGCAGGGATCATGTTTTTGTTATATATTTGTACAGCCCCCAGTGCAGTGAAGCCTGGGGGAGGCTGCATGTATGGGGGGCCCCTAGGCACTACCACAATACAAATAATACATTATATTAATAAGCAAAAATTAAGTCTCTTGGGGTGTATCACCTGGATTCTTAGAGAAATCATTATTTTACTACAATATTTTAATTGATTTACAAGATCACAAGGTATTTCTAGTTGTTAAAATAAGTGTTTGCATTTAATTCTACACATGAATCATAGAAACAGAGTTTCCCGTGGGAATGTTTCTGTAGCTGTTCCCTGTTGTTCCGGAGAGGGACAAATTCTGACTAGATCATACCCAGATTCTCATTGCAGGGCTCCAGAGCTCTACACTCCTCTCAGATGCAGTTCCTGCGTTACCAGCTGTACCCAGAGTGTAACTATGCCCCTGTTAGCAACCCTGGTCAGGAGAGCACTTGTTTAATCACAAGGCTGGAGGCGTGGGGTGGTCTTAGGCAGTCAAGAGAAATTGGAAAGCTCTACCAGTTCCCGGAGTGAGGAAGACATATTCATGGGTGAGTTAGTGACCAGACTAGCCCCACTCCAATCAGGAAAGCATTATATGCCTTCCTATTCACTGTCTTGCATGGTGCTGCTTCTTCAGGCTCTTCCTGCAAAGGTCTCAACTAGTTCTAATGACTTTGGAATTAATGAACCTGAAGATTCAGAGGTATTATTTTGAGGGAGTACATTTAATTAATGTCACTCTATAACGTGTATAGGTTGACTGCACTGTATATTCAGCTGTCATTGCCAATCAGAAATAGTTGTGCTGTTCATTGAGGAGCTGCTGTCCTGTTTTGTGGTGGGAGAAGTGACTAGCTGTTGTTGTTTCATGAAGTCTCCTGTTTTTGTCTTTCAGAATATGACAAACTGGGCTTTCTTCTGAAGCTGGACTCAAAACTGTGAGTAGAACAATGGGAATGCTACTTTCCTTTGCCTTTTTTGTTCTGGTTTCTATTGCAGACAACAAAAATTCTGGGTTACTCGTGCAGTGTGGATTGGTTGAGAGGACAGTGCACTGTCAGATGGGAGAGCTGAGGTTAGGAGCAGACTGAAGGTTCCTGCTCTCTGGGTGTCACTGCCGCATGCCTAGCCAGGCTGGCAGAGACTTTGGTCCACTCCCTTTCAATTCTTGATGGCTGATCAAGAGGATAGTAACATCAACCTTAAACTATGCCTGTCTTTCTGCCCTATGAGTCTTATTCCGAGTCTTCAAAATTAGGAAAAGTTAATTAAGCCTGTGAAACCATGGAAAATAATAAGCTGTAATGTAACTCAGAGGCTGGAAACTGATTCCTTCACATCTGGGCCATTCACACGTGACCCCAGAAGCTTGTTGAAAAATTGGAGATGGTGCAAAGAAGGGCCACAAAAATTATTTGGGGGCTGGAAAAAATGCCTAAAAGCAAGAAACTTAAGGAACTTAATCCATGTAGCGTATCAAAAAGAAAATTAAGAGGTGACTTCATTAAAGTGTATAAATACCTTCACAGGGAGATACAAGGTACTAACTGGCTCTTTAACAGCAGAGAAAGACATAACAAGAATCAATGTCTGGAAGTTAAAGCCAGACAAATTGAAATTAGAAATCAGGCACAAATTTTATCCGTGAGGGTGATTAACAACAACCAAGCGTAGAGGTGGATTCTCTATCTCTTGAAGTCTTCAAATCAAAGCAGGCTGCCTTCTGGGAAGATGCTTTAGCCAAACACAAGTTATTGGCCTCAATACAGGAATAACGGGATGAAATTCTCTGGCCTGGGTTATCCAGAAGGTCTGACTAGATGATCTAATGGTCCCTTCTGGCCTTAAAATCTGTGAAGCTGAGTTGTATGTTTAGTGGCTGCTGGTGGTAGTAGATCAATTTGCCATGTCGTAGATGGGGCAAAAGTTACGAAGGTGGGTAGGTCTGATTGTGACACCAGATGGAATAGCCTTATACCAGTCAATTTTAGGCTAAATTTGCTGACTAATGGTGAGCAGCAACTCTGTAGTCTGATGTCAGTGACTGTATAATAATTTCATTGTAAGAGGGTGTTAGTTGGCCTCCTCCTCCTCCTATCTGTGCTAGGTGAAAAGGCATTGAAACAATCCATTGGCTGGAATGGCGTGAATTTGCATTACCTGTACAATGGCTCAGGTCCGCACAACAGCTGCCCTTGATGTCGTGTAAGGATTGGTTGTATTGATTGATTGCAACATTTCATTGAAGTCTTAGCTCAGGGCTGGCTGAAATGCTGCATTCTACCCAGGATCTCCCCATTGTGAATGGGAAGCCCCATAAAAGCCCTTATCTCATCCACTGCAAATAACGTATGGTGCACAGTGAATAAAAAGGTCTCTGTGTAGAAGCCACTCTCTTTCACTGTACATTTGGTATGTAAAGTACCATCATCTGTTTTTTTCTGGCTTAAAGAGTAGTAACAGTAGCAGAAGATGCTATACATGTATCTGAGATAGTAGAAATAATTGTGTATTAGTTACTGTGTAGATCCCCAAAAAACTGCATGAAAAGACTGTTAAGGTTGGAAGTCCAACTCCATTCTACACATGTGAAACTGAGGCACAGAGATTAAGTGAAAAATTGTTAACTAGTTATGGGTGCCCAATTTGAGAAGTCTTGGGCCTGATATTTCAAAGTACGTAGCATTTTATAGCACTTTCTATGTTTAGAGCAGAGGTCCCATTGACTTCAGTTACAGTTGTGAGTGTTTAGCACTTCTGCAAACCAGACCCCAGGTGTCTTAAATTGGGGACTCAAAAAATGAAGCTTATAACTTGGTCAAATTTGGGTAAATTTTCACAGGAATGATCAAAGATACATCTTTGACACCAGGCTGACCCTCCCCTCCTTCCCCTGCCAAATTTCAAGTTTCTACTTCAAAGCCTGGAGACGGCAGGGCTCCTCAGGTAAACGTCTGTAAGATTTTTTTTTAACATAGACAAAATAATGTATTTTCTCCTAATATTGTTCTCAGAAATGACTGAAGTGTTTTTGATCTAACGTTCCAAAAATATTCAGCCGGAAGCAGAAATCTGGGATAGGGAATTTCAGCCCAAATTGTTTACGTTGGCAAAATTATAAACAAGTGAAAACAGGTGTGACGGGTTGGACCCCTTGTAACGCCACCTGATCTGCTGAGATACCACTGAGTCTACCTGTTCTGCCAGCCTGGGCCCCCTTTAACCTGTCTTGCTGAGCCAGGCTCTTAAAACCTCCTCTAACCCACACATAGGCAGGGCCACACCCAGCTGCAGATCAGCTCTGGGAAGACTCAGCTTCAGGGACTTGCTCCAGCTCTCAGCTGTCCCCCTCCCTTGGAGTGCAGACCCAAAGATCTTGTATGAATTTCACCCCCTCCCTCAATGTGGAGCGAGGTGTGCCCACTTCTTGCCCCCACAGTCAGAAATGACAGAACCTGGGTTTAATAATAAACACAACCATTTTTATTAAGTATAAAAGGCAGATTTTAAGTGGTAAAAGGGGTAACAAACAGAACAAAGCAGATTACTAAGCTGGTTTCCCTAGAGAAATTGGTGACAAATAGTATTTCTCACTCTAGATGTTGTTGCAGGCAGTTTACAAAGGTTCTGTGGTTCAGAGTTCCAGTTATATTCCTTTTCAGACTGGACCCCTGTCTCAGTCTGGACTCCCCCCTGGCCTTCCCTTCAGGTGGCTTTTGCAGTCTGTCTTCTTGGGCAGACAGCCGTGGAGAGGAGTCGTCCAGTTTGCCGTCCTCCTCACCCTTCAATAGGATTAACATAAGGCGGGAATCCTTTGTTTCCCAAACTTGACCCCCCCCCCCCCCTTCCCTTCCAGTGGAAAGTTACAAGAAGTCCCAGGAAATGTTTTAGTATCAGGTGACAAGACCATCTGACTCTGTAGGATCACAGCATCCATGAGTCAGGGGCAGTATGGAGAGCCCACAGGAAAGCCAAGCTTTTCACAGTCTATTGTCCTCGCTGATGGGCCTTCTGCCCCGTCTGGCTTTTCCATTGTTGTACCTGAAGTGGTAGCAGGGGGCGTCACCCAAAGTAGCATAGTTGAAATACAGATACATAGTCAATATTCCTAACTTCAGATACAGACATGATACAGGCATACAGATTGGATAATCACATTCAGTAAATCGTAACCTTTCCAATGAGATCTCACATGAGCCATCTTGTATAAAATACATCTCAGTTATGTCATATTCATATCATAAGCATATTTTCATAAGGAATATGGAATGACGCATCAAAACAGAGTCTTATCATGGAAAGGGTCAGGCAGCCTTAGTTTTAGGTGTTGCTACTTGCACCACCTATAATTATGTGAGAACTATTATGTGAGCATGTAATTAACGATTGTATTGCAGTGCTGCGCACTGATAAGGTTGCCTGCAGGAAGTAGTAGCACTAGGGCATTGTGTGCTGGCTTCCCTGGCTTGTAAGGCAAATGGCGTGTTGCACTGGGTAACGGAACATTGACCTGGGTGGCTGTGAGGTGCTGAACTTGCGCCTGCTGGCATCAGGGACAGGTGGCTGCGGCTCCTGGCCTGGGTCTGAAGAGGGGTTTTTTGAAAATGGATTATCACTGTTCATGGGTTAATACTGGGTAGGAGAGAATAACCAGAAGGACTGTGTACCATTTACAATGTATATAGCAATAATTTCCCTGCATGCGCCAGTCATGGTGGGACTTTACTTCCTGTATTGCTTTGAAGAAGACTGGACAAAATGCAGCTCCTTGTCTCCACCAGCTACAGTGATCCTTCTTATCCTCTTGTGTTTTGAGGCTCCCCTGTTTCTCATATTCACATCTGTACTGCTTGGGTCTCAGGTGCACTCCTTCTGCAATGATGAAACCGGAATAGAACAATTGAGAATGGAAGAGACAAGATGGGCTAAAAACCAAAATGTAGCAACATGAAAACCATATTTAGCCATCCGTTCTCTATAGCATGGCTTACTCCAATGCTGCTTCAGACCAAGGAAAGGTAGACCCATACCAGTATGCACTCTGAAGAATTTCTGACCAGCATTTCCAGTAAAGTAAACCCCACATTTCGGCACTATATGTTTTACATAAATGTTTAGAACAAGAAGAAAAAATATTAACAGTGAAAGTAATTAACCATTGGAACAATTTACCAAGGATTGTGGTGGATTCTCTATCACTGACCATTTTAAAATGAGGATTGGATTTTTTTTTTTTTTTTAAATATATGCTCTCTGAGTTATTGTGGGGGAATTCTCTGGTCCATGTTATACAGGAGGACAGAGTGGGTAATCCTAGTGGTCCCTTCTGGCCTTGGAATCTATGAATCTGGGCAATCTTAATGTAGGCCTTTCCTGATATTTGAGTACTTCTCTGCGCGAATTTAACAGTAGCCCTCTTTGGACGGAAAATGTGCAGGGGAGATCCCTATCCAGCCAGATGGGCCCAGGGAAAGGAAAGTCTCCATAATGGAGCCAGACTCAGGGCAGAGACTCAAGCTGGTAAGAGCATCTACAGAAGCTGTCTCAGCAGGGACTGGTGGACACTGATGATACCAGACTATACTTGCTACAGTTTTTCCTCTGGATATTCTTTTCCTTCTGCTGTTTGACCCTCATCATCACTTCAGTCTCCCTCCACCCTGTCCTCTGTGCTCTTCTCATTCTCCCTTCCCTCCTTCCGGTCACCTCTCCCTTTGTTTTTAGCTTTTAGCTAATCCCTTCCAGCCTTCCCTTCCACTCTGCTTGTGTGTTCTCTCTCTTTTTCCCACCCTTTGTCTGTCTTGTCTATTTAGATGGTAAGCTCTTTGGAACAGGGACTGTTTGTTATTCTGTGCTGTACCTCGCACAATGAGACCCTGGTCTTGGTTGGGGTCTCTGGGTGATAAAATAATAATATATTTTCTTTACTGACTTCTTA